ACAAATCCACGCGCCGGTGGATATTTTAGAGTGAGGTAAAAAAAAAAGAAAAAAAGAAAAAAAACTGTATAGTAGTGGGATAGAAAAAAAGGATGTGGGGTCCACAACTTTATCGTAGCCAATGGCAGGTGATAACGAGGTGGGACCCAATAGAGCTGTCTATCTTCAAGATGTAGATTGTTATCAATATGGTTCCAATAAATCTTTATTGATGTGATTAATTTTTTTTCCCTTTTTAAGGATCATGTGGCCATTTATATAAGTGATTATTCATCATTTAATATTATTTTAATGCTTTATTTTATTTTATTAATGTTTTTTTTTTAATTTCGAATGCATTGATAAATGAATTAAACACGTCGGCCAAAAAGTGGTGAAAATGTTTAACCTTATTGTGTTCCATATTTATTGTGATTCACGTATAAATATACAAATTGTAATTATTTATAACTCTTAAGTTATCTGGATTTTTAGTGTATAAAATTTTCTCCAAAAGTTTTAGAAAATACATGCAGTTAATTTGGATGTAAAAATTTCAATATATATGCAATTAAATAAATGTACGAAATATGTTAATTGACGGCCATTTTAAAAATTGTGTAGATATCTTTTTTACTGGTTAAATTATATTATTGTAGGTTATTTTTGTATCTAATTTTTAACTTGATGATCGGTTACTAATTGTCTTTATATACTACGGTTTAATTTTATATAGTTAGTATATATTAGAAGAAGTTATTGATGTTTTAAAAATTTGAGAAGAAAAAAATTGAACTCTGATGTGATTGACATTATAATTTATTTTATTATTATTTTTTTTTATAGCAATTGACATTATAATTTATTAATTTAGTATTAATTGTAAATAAGATATTGCTTTTGATAAAGTACAAAGTAATTTTTTTAGTTTTGTGGAATACTTTATCATCGTTGTTTGTTTTAGGGTAAATATGTGCGGTTGAATACACCCTAACTAGTAGAAGTTGTTTTTTCTATTTTCCTTTCTAACTTTTAAAAATAAGTTTTTGATGATAATCTATTTTTTTTTCTTAAAGATTTTTAAATTTAGCCAATTTTTAAAGAGTTTAGTTCTAAATTTTCGAGTTTAGGACAAAGTTAACCAAAGATTAGAAAGTACTAAATTTTGTAATAAATGCGAACACCAATCGCTATGGAATGAGTAATTGCTTAAAATTTTACTTTAGAACAAGTCTATTATTTAATAATACAAAGCTTATATTTAATAAAATTTTGTATTGATTTTAATGAAACTTTTAGCACTCAGCTTTAATATTATTAAACCAATCGCCAAATTCTATTGTTTGGTTGTGTTCAATAAGGTAGTTGAATGTTAATAATATTTTTCTAAAGGTTGATATTATACTTTAGATTCGTATACCATGTGATATTAGATGAATGTAAACTCAAAATGTTAGGTAAAATGTAGCTTTTAAATGAGAAAGACTTTATCCTCTATCATTTTCATTACCCTTGTCAACATGCTAATTTTTCAACCACAAAATTATAATAATATAGTTTGTCATCATTTTTATATTCAACAAATTTAAGCCAATAAATAATTATCTAACACATGCATTATATAATAGAGGTATAAGTAATTATAAAAGAAATTTAGATAAAACGCCACTCTTAGAGATAGAATGGATGGACTAGAAATCAAGTTTATTGGATATGTATGATCATGTTCACTTAATATACAAGACGGTTGTAGGACCGACAAGAAATGCATCCCATCTTGCTTTCATGCCACAAGATTTTCAAAAAATTTTGTTCATTTCCTTCAATAATTACAGGAGATTCCTTTTTTTCTTTTTTTTTTTTCTCCAGTAACATTATTTTTCTTTGGTAATAATTTATATTATTATGACTACAACATGTGTTTCAGTTTGGAGTAGTCTTTTTCTCGTCTGTAAATTACTCTCTCAAAAGAGGGTTTTGAGTTTTGACCATTAATTAATAACTATTGAATATTTGTATGTTTGTAGGGTATCTTGTCAAGAAATTTACAACTTTACTTTATATAAATAGTAAAACGAATAATTGTAAATCGAGTTCTAAACTATTGGCATGCAAAAATAAACATGGTTTTAATGATAGCGATATTTTTAAATTAAATTATTGGTTGGTGTTAAGGATGACCAAATGTGATCGAAATTTGAGATTGGATTATTGATGCATTTTCTTGTCTTCGATTCAGCGTGGACTTTTTAATCCTTGTCTTTGTCTCGTAATTTCTCAATTTAGGGAATTGAGGTTGGAATTTAAGGATTTTTATATATGGATGTCGCTCTAATTTCTTACCAGAAAAATTCAATCAAATGGTTAAACGTTAGCTCTTGACTTTTTTTCCAAAGGAGAGATAGAAGAAAAAAAATCCAGATGAATTTATTTAGATAGAATAAAATAAAATGGAATTTTGAAATATAGCAGAAAATTCAAAATTTTACAAAAATAGCATAATCTAAATCCAACCCAGATTTAATATAATAAAAATCACATGCTCATGCTATGTTTAAGAAAGAAATGAAAAAAAAAAAACTAAATTTATACTATTTAGTGGAACTTTTGAAAAATATTAATTATTAAGCATACTAGTTCACTGGGACTAATTTGGCGGTGGATGTAAATAATATTTATAGAACTAATTAATTGGAGATATAAAATCGCATCAATAATTAATATTAAGAATATTGCCTTAAGTAAGGTGATTGATTATATGTTTTAATTTGGTTAGAGGACAAAGATGTAATTTTATTGTAAAATATCCAAAAACTAATATTGAAAGCACTTCTTACTTTTAATATTTATATATATTTAGTTAAATATTGATTAATTTGTCATTCTTTGATTGAAAAAAACAAAAACAAGACAAATTTAATTAGTAGTTTTTTTTTTAAATAACCACGAATAGATCTAAAGATGAAGGAGAGTGATATAAGTTCCATGGATGGGGAGAGTGAGGATTCGAGAAGGAAACAAGAAAAACTTTCCTTTTATCAAAATAAAGAAAAAAAAACTGATAAATCAATTCTGAAAAAAAGTAACCAATAAATTAGGTTCATTAATGTCGTTCGTTCTCTCGACAATAATATCTTGTGATGAGTTGTATTATTAGTTTATGATGTTATGTGTTTGGCTGACGTGGTATTATTTATTAGTATTAGCATGGTATGGACAAAATTTTAGACATTGTCCAAATAATTAAAAGTATAAAGATTGGAATATAATAACAGAGAACAAGTATAATTACAAGAATTTCAATTTTAGTCTGGCGATATTTCTTTTCCAAATGAAACAAAAATAGTTGGCCTAAGTATGTTGGTAAAAGACAACACATACTTTAATTATACATGTTCAATATGTTTTTTTTTTATAAAAGTCTTTAACAACAATAATGGGATGAAATATTATCATACAATATATGAGAACGAGGACTCAAAGTTTAGGATGTTTTAAAGAAATTAGTAAGGATGTCTTAATCACTGCACATCTTTAAGGGCGACATTCTTTTATTAGCTATATATTTTTATTACCATATGGTACAAATTTAATGACCCATCACAGAAAAAAAAAATAACGGAAGAAAGAATGACAACAACATTGAAACTAAGACGGATTAGCTCAAAGTTGGGGATTCGAATTTCCATTACTACATGTTGAACTCGAAGAAAAATAGTGAAAAGTAACGTGACAATTGAATCTCTAATGAAAATGTTAAGTAATTTTTATACCCTTTTTCTTTTTGCCTCTTAATTTTCAAATTTGGTTTTTAAACTTTGTATAAATGCATTTTGAAACCTTAGACTAAAGTCTTATTATGCCTATGGCTTATGGCTTCATATATTCGTTGATGTTGACTTCAAACACTGTGACAAGTATGTGCTCTTAAAACAAACTAACAAAAATTGCCACTAAAATTTAGTATACTAAATAAGTTTAGGGATGAAAATAGTATAAAAATAAAAGTTCAATTTTTAAATTAAAAAGATTAGACATTAAGAACTCATTACTAAAATAGCACCGGAACTGCCAAATTTATAATTAACCCTTTTGCTCAAATCGTTTCCTCATCGTGTAAATTAATTTCAAATTTATTTTCTAAAAAAATACATCAAACAAACCTCAAAAAAGGGAAAAAAAAAAGAACTAATAAAATCGAAAAGTAGGATCATAAAATCACATTATTTAGCAAACTACTGGACGACGGCGAGCTCTGTTCACTGAGCCACGAATCTTCAACAGAGCCTCTGGAAAAGTAATCTCCTCCGTCTCCATGGCTCGATTTCCAGCTCCCACTTTCCCCTAACAAAATTTCCTTGCACTTCCATCTCCGCCGTATCTCCTCCAGCTCCGCCGCCACCTCCACCATCGACGGCCGCACATCCCTCTGAAACGCCAAGCACCTGAACGCCACCTCCCCGATCCTCTGCACCGACCAAACCCCCAATTCATCCTTCTCAATCTCCATCCACGGATCCACAATCTCCATCACCCGCCCACTCCCGATCCTCTCGCCGGCCACCGCCGCCAAGTTCACCTCGCTCTTCGCCCGGCAGAAATCCACCGCTTTCATGGCGGTGATCAGCTCCACCAGGACCACGCCGAAGCTGTACACGTCGCTCTTGTCGGAGAGATGGAAATCCTGATGGTACTGCGGATCCACGTACCCGGGGGTCCCCTGAGGAGCCGTCGAGATGTGGGAAATTTCCGCCATCCCCAATCTCGAAAGCCCGAAATCCGCCACCTTCGATTTCAGATTCCCGTCCAGCAAAATGTTGCTCGATTTAATGTCTCTGTGAAAAATGGGCGGGTTAATCGCCGAGTGGAGATACGCGATCGCCTGGGCGGTCTCGACGGCGATGTCGAGGCGGACCGGCCAGGGCAGCCCCTCGCCTCTCTGTTTCTGCAGATGCTGGCTCAATGTGCCGTTCGCCATGAACTCGTACACCAGAATTTGCTCGCCGGATTCTATGGAGCACCCCAGAAGACGGACGAGATTCGGGTGGTTGATGGATGAAATTAGTTCGATTTCGTTGAGGACTTGTTCGATGCTGTCAGCGCTGTCGCGATTCTTGAACCGTTTGATGGCGACCCACTCGTCGGCGCGTAGCTTCCCGCCGTAGACGGTGCCGTACGCGCCGGTGCCGAGGCGGTGGGTGTCGGAGAAATTGTGGGTGGCTTTCCGGATCTCTTTGTGGGCGTAAATTTGGATGGTGGAGGCGCCGGTGGTGGCTTCGGAGAGGCGGCGTCTGGTGATTGTGTTTATGCGCGTGGCTTTGGGATCGGAACTGCGTCGGATGAAGCAGCAGAATAGGCCGAGAGTAAGCAGTACGGCGGCTCCGCCGATGGCGGTTCCGATGAGAATGGCGATTCTTGTTGTTGCTGCTGCAGTTCCGCACTCGTTGTAAATGTACTTGGTTGTCGTGCCGCAATTAGAAGGAGCTGTGTTTTAGAAAAAATGATTAGTAGATTAAAGAGAATGCTACAGATAAGAAATAGAAATTAGAATGTTAATTATGAAGGGTCAAATCCTTATCCCATGGAGTCAATGGAAAGGAATATAGGATCACATTTGTGTCATTTTCTTGCTTTTTCCACAGCCATAAGCTAAAAGGAGAATCATATTGAAGGAATTGTGTGTTTGGGTAAATTGGGAAATGTCTTTGATCAAAGTGGGTGGGCAAGAGGCCAAAGTTTTCTCGCCTCTATTTTATGGGGCATGCTGTCCTACGCTGCACTGTTCAAACAATTGCCCTTACACCCACACTCACCCATCACTTTTACAACAATAATGCTCTTTTGCCTAATTCATATATTTTGTTTAAATTCTCTTCGCAGGTGAAAAGGCTTGCACCTTGACTAAACTCATGAGACAACTGCTTGACCTAATATATTTGGTTGATCAAGAAAATATATAGAAGATTAATTTTTAAGTATAGCTTTGAACATATTTACTCTAAATCTTTTTTTTGGACTTTTGGATCAATGAGCCAACCTATGATGATCTCATTTTCCCTATTAAATTTGTTCAAACTAGTTCATTTTGTCTACTCTAATTCGTAATATAGAAAACTTGATTATTTTGATTCTTCTAATAAATGGATAATGTGACTTCAAGTATATGTATCAATGTGTTAACATGGACATGTATGTGCACTACCCATAAAGTTATCTTATTTCACTGGAAGGTTAGGGAGATCCAAACCAAATATTAATAATTTTTCTTACGTGGCATGTTAGGAGTCTTTCGAGTAACAACAAAGACTAAAATAACCTCGTACACAAAATTCAAGAATAAAAATAGAACATAAGAAGTAAAACTTGAAAGACCCAAATAAAATTTTAACCACATGGATAATCAAACTAATTTGAAGTCGAATCAAATCTATATAACAAAGGTTGTTCATAACAATTTAAATTAAATGGATTCATAGACTTGACAGGGAGAGGTCAAATAGGAGGGGCTAAAAACACACGTGGATAAATAGGTAATGTAATCCATAGATTAGGCATCAAGAACTCAACGAAGAGGACCTAAAAGAAAGTGGATTCTAAAAACTAAGTTGACGTGAGACCTTGACAAAATGGAGAATCCCAACCTGAAAGTGAAAGAATATTTAGGAGAATCCTATAGTTTTCTTTTTGTCTTTAAAGTCTATATTTGAAGTGATGCCCTAAAGAAAATTGATTGTGGATTGCAGAGTCATGCTGATGTAAGGCTTTCATGTTCTAAGGCTAAGATCGTGTTCAACTTTTTCTTGAGTTTGATTCAAAATCCCTTTAATTTTTGGTTCCATGTAATATGATTTATCAACACTTTAGTATCAAACTATTATGGGTCGCTTATTATAGTTTCGAGGGACCAAGGTAAATTAAAAGTGTTTAAAGAATGAATGAGTTCAAACATCACGAGGATTAGTTATCAAATTAGGGACATCTGCTGATCGAGAAAATTTATTCTTTAACTCGTGGTCTCTCTTCCCTCTATAGTGTATGGTCTATGTCCAGTCTCAACCTAGGTGTTCAGTTGTGAAGGTTTGGTTTCTTTTAGGAACGTTTTTCGGTTCTTTAAGGTCATAAAATTTCTTTTAGGCATGTTTGAGCTAGTTCTGTGCATAAAATTCAACTTTTGAAAGGTTTTGGAAATCTATTAGGGACTTTGAGCTTCCTTTTTATGGCTTGTGTGGTAACGTTTCCATTGTTCCCATTTCTTGTTTCTCGTTTTCCGTTTCCAAATCTGTTAGAAACTTAAGCATTTAGAAGTTGTCTACGCTTCTTGTTTATCATATTTTTAGAAATGTTCCTAAAATTGTATAGAAATTTGGAAACAATAAAATCAAGTTTCTTACTTCTTGTTCTCGTTTATATTTTGTTTCAAAACATAAACGTTTTTAACTGAAATAGGATGTATAGGTTGCTATTGCATGTAGAGATTGTGCAATTAAATTTTCTTTATTAAAAAGAGAAAACAAGAAAAGGAAATGACAACATTACCAAATGAGCCCTTAGTATCGAAACTTTTAATTTAGTATCATAGTTTTCTTGAAAATTGTATCGGTTATAGTTACAGTAGCCATAGTAAATAATAGAGAGTTAGTTTATATGAGTTAGACATCTTTTTTTGTATATAGTTAGTTTGACTAAGTTTGTGGGATTGAAGTGAGATTGGATGAATTAAACACTTTTTTCTTTTTTTTGATGAAGGATTATTCTGGATGAGTTTGTGGGATGTGAAGTGTGTTAAGGTGAGTTTGTGATTTTTGGAGTGAGTTTTTGATGTGTTAGACAAGGTTAATTTGATGTGAAGTGTGTTTGAGGAGTTTGTGGGATATATTTGGATTGAGTTTTGGGTGAGTTATAAGCACATCTATTTTGGCTTTTAAGGGATAATTTGGGTGAGTTTGTGGGATATGGGGTGAGTTAGACATAGTATGGGGTAAGTTTGTGATTTTTCGGGTGTGTTTGGGTGAGTTGGTAGGATTTGATGTTTTGTATTTGGCGAGTTTGTGATACGTAAACATTTGTTTTCACTTGAATGATTAGTTTTCGTGAGTTTATGATATGTGGAGTGAGTTAATATTATTATTATTTTTTTTTTCAAATTGAAGTAGTCTGGGTGAATTTATGAGATTTGAATTGTATTTCTCCGAGTTTATAAAATTTGGAGTGTGCTTGGATAAGTTAAGCATGTTTTTTTTTTAAAGAGTAGTTTGCCAAAGCATGTATAATCGACTTTAGGTATGTTTTTTGTTACTTAAGTATTCTAGATACGCTTGAGCTACTTCAAAAGACATTAGTTTAAGAGTGTTTGGAGGTAAGTTAAGCATGTTTAGTTCACTTTAAACACGTTTTTGTTTACTTAACTACTAAAAATGTATTTTAGGCATGTCCGAGATACTATGAGGCAAGAAAAACACTAGTCACAGGACTAATTCAATCCAAAATCAATACGCCATGCACTTTGTCTTTGGGATTGATTGGTGCACCATTTTCCTAGGGTTGCACCAGGGCACTTGGTGCGACTCGACTTGGTTAGTTCATCAATAATTTGTATGTCATTCATTTCGTCTACTAAATCACCAAATGTCTTTTCTATTCTTGATTTTACCATGTAAGGAGTTATTGTTCAAAATTAGATTCATAAATATGTTTATTTATTTTTTTGTCAAAGCGAGCATAGCTCAGCGGTAATTGTCATATATCTTGAGAGTGTGAGTTCTATCTCTCATCCCCACACGTTGTACTAAAAAAAAACTACGTTTTTTTAAATTTCAGAATCACGTCTTTTTATCAGATAATTACTAATAGTCGTCTAATTTAACTACTCAAATTATATTGCAAAACGTAACTATAATTCTTAAAAGCAAAGTACTTTATTATAAAAGAATATACATAAAAAGTCAGTGGATTAATAACTTTATAATATAAAATTCATAAGATATATTTAATACTTATTCCACAGAATTTCCAGCGGATTAATAACTTGGTCAAGGCAGTAACTAACAAAAGTCAAACATTTTAATCCAACCACATGAAGAAACATGCCCCAAATTTCATCATGATGCCCCTCAACTTTTTGACTTCCAAAATCGTCACGCGCAATCAAACAAAATTTTTAACCACTTTTTTAATTTAAAAAAAAAAAAGAAAATTCCAAGAAAACTAACCTTTCCGGCAGCCAGTGCCGGCGGAATACCCGTCGCCGACCAAGCCTTCCGGGCAGTGGCACCGGTGAGACGGCCTCCCATCAGTCGGCGAAATTAGCTCCGTACAATTGGCATCTTCATGGCAGGATCGCCGGCAGCCGCCCTCCAGCCACCACTCGAGCTCCACGGCCTGAATCTCCAGAGAGATTCCGGCGGAGGAGTTGGAACTCAGCGACTCCGCCGAAATCGAGGAGAGGAGGTAATCGCAGTGGGTCCGGGTCAGATTTTCCAAGTCCAAAAAACCGACGCCGTTTTGGGTGTAGCAGCTGATGCTACTGGCGTTGACGGAGGCGCAATTCGGGGACTCGAATTTGGTCTGAACCATCGTCGTCGGAAGTAGGCAGCTGGAAACCGGGGAGGAGCAATTTTGTAAAAGAATGGCGTTGTGGGCCGTCGGCGCGTAGTTGCGGCTGAAGAATTGCCGGATCGCGTGGAGCCGGCGGTTGCATTTGGCCCCCATCATCACTTTTATGTGGTCGGAGTTTATGGATTCGACGGGGAACTCTCCGATCAGGGCGGCGCCGTCGCGGGTGCAGTTCAGGCGGATTTGGCAGGCGGCGGAGAACCCGAATGGGTGGGGGAAATCGTGAGGCCGGTGGCCGGAGCCGCATGATTTCGAACACTTGGCCTCTGCCTCTGCGTTGACTGATGAAATTAGCAGAAGAAGAAGAAGGGGAAATTTTGGGGAAATGTGAATTGGGTTTTCTGGGATCATGGATGGAGATGAGACAGTGGAGAAGATCGAGAAAATGTTGTTGTTTGGGTAAGATTTTCCGGGAAAATGAGGAATTTTCTCGGCATCTGGACTGGATTTTTTTTTGTGCCGGAAGTTGTGGAGTTGAAGCAAGGGAAAGCAGAGGGGGGAAGTTTCTTGACACTTTGACTTTATTATCCTAATTGTGTTTTTCTTTCGAGTTAATAATTGAAATTTGGCTTTAAAAAATTTATCAATCATGCCTCAACATCCTTTTTGGGTATATTGGTAATAAGGAATGGTAATGATTTGGTTTAATTTACTTTTATATTTGGAGAAAGGAAAAGTGGATTGAATGATCACAAGGGAGAATTCAACTATCTCAACTTGGCCACTTACCTAATATTCTTTGACAAAATAGTGACACCAATATTGTTCACATTAGGACATTTTTCAAAACGGGAAACAACCAACTTAGAATCGATTTTACTTCACTTTTTAAAAGAGTGAAAATTTAAATATCCGATTTAGAGTTTTATGTGGACTAATTAAAATTATTATTCTTTTATGTATCGGGCCTTATACAAATGAAGTAAAAAAGTGACAAAGCACTATAAAAACTAAGACATAAGGGAATACAATTGCCGTACAAATTCTCCCAAATACAAACCACTAACATTCTTCTGCTCCATCTCTTTCTAAATTTTAGTCTTAAAATCAGAGGATGAAACATGATAAAAAATAATAATAATAATTATGTTACCAACTAAGTTATGTTTGAATCGATCCTAATTCGACTATACTATATATTTTTACACTCACTCCTATATAAAATTAACCACATCGTATTTGGTTTAGTTAAATTGGATCTTTTAGGTCCACTTTAATAACTATTTTATTGTTAGAAATGTCCTTGCTCCATCAAAATATTTGACCTTTAATTTCTTTTAAAAAAATACATTTTCAACAAATACAAATAAATACATAGGTGAAGTTTGTTGGGAAGCAGAATATTGGACAATTAAGAAAGATCATCTCATGTGACCTCTTTTCGGTATTTTGGGCATGCACAGTATTTGACCTATTATGCTCATTAGCTCAATTAGAGTAATACCAAATAGCTCGGTTAAATAACCACTGGGCCATGAGAAGACTATATGCCGAGGAGTCCTACGCAACTATGTGTAACAATATAATTGACAACCCACCAACCTACTATAAATATGGATTTTTTTTCAAATACAGTTATGCTTATTATTAGTTCTGAGAGCATAAATAAGATTATTTACAAACTTGAGCGTCAAAGTATTTGTTTTTTTATTGCAATTTACTCACCTCGTTTTTTTTCAAATAGGTGGCATGATATTTCATACTTATTATTGATATAAACGGAAGCTTGATAATTTGAGTTGGTTTATTAATTTCGAGATTAAAAGGATATTTATTTGGAATTGAAACTGAAATTTTTGTGTATGGAAAACGTAATTTATGGGGGAAAAAACATAAAACAAAAACATTCACGTGTACGCAAAGGAGGAACAAGTTAAGTCAAAGTATATGTGGAAATGGGACCCACCAAACCACAGAAGCGAAATTTCCATTTTGATCTACGAACGAAACTGCGCCATCTGTCATTTGTTTTCTGCACTTGGGTGGGTCCCAACCCGTCCCTTTAATCGGGCGTAATCATAGATCTATAATGCTCGTGACTATTAATTTAATTAATTAGCATTTTCTTAATATAATACTTCTAAATCAAGACCGCTTGTCTTCTTTTCCTTTTTCCTAA